GTAAACACATGGCTTTCACTACTTGCTCGCCGGCAACAAACAGTGAACGGACTTCTTGTGAAAAATTGTGACGCGTGATGAAAGGTATGCTGATTACAAGAATCCTAAACGTAAAAAGTCGTCGGTAGATACTGGGTACTTCAGTACATCGACGCCAAAACAGGATATTCGCCTAGAGAAGGTCTTCCTGTGTATCTAGTGGGTCGTCAGACAGGGACTGCCGAAAGCCACAGCCGAAAATTGAACAAGTTGAGCAAAGAACTTAATCAGAAGGGACCATTTACTGGACAAGATAGCAGACAAGTCATACTGCTGCTGCTGCTGCTCCATGACAACGCTAGATCACCTCACGTCTCCCGCGAGACCCAGAAGACCCTCTTGAACTTGGCATGTGATTTGGTCCACCCTTCCAACCACCATTTGTTCCGGTCAATGCAGCAGCATCATGCCTTAGTAGATGAACTGTTCCTAAGACGCCGGACGATGTGCTTGAAGCTGTCGCGGACGACTTTATTGCCTTGAGGCATTCGTGCGTTGCCTGAGAGATGGCGCAAGATCATAGACAACGATTTCATCGCCTTTGAGGCGCACATGGCAAGTACTGAGTACATTTCTCTCAATTCATGCCTCTTCATTGAAATGGCTTGGACGACGATCGAGCAAAATCCAGCGAAACAGTCCCATTAACCATTCGAAAACGCACGTCGACGCGTGGCACTAGAAAGTGCAAGCACGTCGCAGTGCGCAACGCGAATGCAAATCAGGCAATTAACCGCAAAGATCAAACGAACGAGGCAATTTCAAGGCGGCGCAAAATATAAGCAATGCGAAGAGGGTTGCAGACTGCTTTGTTAACTGTGGATTTCGATCAAGGTTCACACGTATGAGCACATTCTTGGGCTACAGCGGTGGAATTAGCCTGCACAAACACACACACACACACACACACAAGGCGAGAAGTCCACTAACTCACGCGAGCATTAAACGACTGCGGTCGGTGGCGCGAGGGTGCTTCCAGGGTCCTCGACGTTCCACAGTTGGTGCAATTCAGGCGCAGAAAGATATCACGGGGCGACAGGGTCTGGGGTGGGCGGCGTGAGGCGAGAGACGGACGCGGGGAGAGGCTTTTAGGGCGGATTCGCTGTGGAGGCGGCGGCGTCGGCGGTGGCAACCACGAGGGCGGCGCCACCTCCGCCGGACCAGGCACTTTCACAAGAGGGATGTCCTCTTCAGGTCGGACAGTCTGAAAGGAGGCGTTCGTGATGACCGTTTTGCACGGGTGACGACCAGTTACGCCCGCGAAGGAATGCTGCTCGTCTTCGGAAGAGGAGGGGGGAAACGGCCTTGGAAGATGGCGGTGGTGGAGTGGATCCAGGGAGAGCGCAGGAGACTGTTCAACGGAGACCGCCGAGGTCGCGGTGTTCGACTGGTTGGTCTGGTCAAGTTGGGTGATGGAAGTTGTCGCACAGCACCCACTCTTGCGCGAAACCGCGCTTGCGTGAACGGCGTCGAGGAAGAACTTGCTGTTGGAGACGCCGTTGACGAAAAGAAGGACCTAGAAGACGCAGCAATCAGTTGACGGTTTTGTGTCATTAAGAAGCACAGAATTACGCAAACTAACTGACATTCAACCGCGTCGTTTTGTGGTCTGAATTTAAATATCGAAGTAAACACACAAAAAAACTTGATGAAAAGCAGTTAATAATGTACTGTCCGTCATTTCCTACAAGAGTCTCCTAGCTTTCTACAAAGGTTCTGATATTCTTCTTTGCAACAGCTGCGAGATTTCCAAATTTTGACAAGAAACCGAACGAAACAAACGCAATAGGCGTAAAACACTATTCGCCTGTAATCCCACCCCACACACACACACACATGATAATCACACTTTCATTTGATGGGGTGATTAAGACCCTGCCACCGATTCTGCACCTTCGAAACTCGTGACTTGGTCCTAAGAAGGCTCCTTCTGTTCACGGCCGAGGCTGTGGAAACACGTCCTACTTTATTCCGCCAGCCAAATCGTGAAAAACCCATCCACCAACTTCCGAAGTGCACTCGAATTGCATGAAATGGTCAATTGCAGTTGAGTTGCCATTTCGACTTAGAATAGACCACTTATCAACTGTCCCAAGAGCAGCAGGTGTACGATCCACGCAAACGTCGCGAGCAGGTTTCGTTGCAGTTCCAACGCTTATGCCTTAATTTAAACCAAACACCTTGCGAGAAAATGTAGCTCTTCACTTGGCAATTTCAACTTCTTAACACCACACACAAATTGGCCCAAACAAGCCTTCTTAAACAAGACTGTGTTGACCCAGAAGGCGCTTACATTACGGCCAAGAAATGAAACGATTATGGATGAAACATAAGCACAGTTCAGTGGCGATAAGCTGCCTCATTCAATATACCACAAAAAGACAGTCTCATTTCGAGTGACCTAGCAAGGAACCACTCCAGCGCTCATTTGAAGACGCGTGTGTGTGTGTGTGTGGCTGTCAAGGCAACACTCACATTGGACCAGAGTTCGATGGTTGCGCGCGTCGTGAGTTCGTGAATCGCAGAGACGGCGAGATGGGCTTGCGGCGTTGCCAGGATGTAGTGCAGTCCGGGGAGCAGGTCAATGACGAACTGCGAGCAAATGTAGGGTATGCGTGACATGCGAGGACGCGGTGTGCTGCGCGCGGCCTCGAAGTGGTCAACCTGATCCCCCTTCTTCACCGACGTCGATTTCGTCTTCCGCTTGGCTTTTCCGGGGGGTGGACTGGCTGGTGCCGGTGGTTGTGGAGCTGGGGGAAGCGGAGGCGGCGGCGGGGGTGGTGGTGATGGCGGTGGAGCAGAAGGAAGGGCGTCAGAGGCAGTGGCGCTGGTGAGGTCGTCCGGTGATGGTGGACAGCTGTTGGCCGTCACGGCGTCTCCCATCTCGAGGTCGTCACCGTCACCGTCATCTTCTCCTTCTTCCACTTCAAATGCCACGTTGTCGTCGTCGTCCTCCTCCACCTCCTCCTCAGTCTCACTCGCACTGGGGACTTCATCACAGGTTTCGTTGCAGTTTGCATTCAGTAGCTAACAAAGAAAGGCACGTCAGATTCAACGTGGGCGGCAGTACATCAACGGCTCCAGGGCCGCAAATAAATCACGCCTAATCGCTAGTGCCGCCATTTGTTCAATCTCTGAAAAGTGCAAGCCATCAAAAAAGACCAACAAGTGAATGGGGAGCCCAAAAGTACGATGCAAATTCCAGTAACTGCCTTGGCATCACTAGTGTTCTAGCCGGCCTAAACGTCCAATGACTGTAGCCAAATACTCTCGGCTAGCGATCGCCGGCACAATTGCTCAAGTTGCTTCCGGAGAACAGTCAAGTTTGGCAGCAAATATTTCAAACAAGGAAATGCGCTCTGGTAGGATTAATGGGTGCGTGAAAGGCAATAAAAAAACACTGCTTAGGCGCTTCAAACAAGCTAAAATTAGCTGCGCATATAATTCTGTAAGTCTGGAAGATTGGTAGAAGGCATGTTTGTTTCGTACAAAAAAAAACAGAGAGGCAAGGAATAAGAACTAAATCGACGCTTATGCCACATCGATTTTGCAAATGCAGTCAAACTTACAGTGGGCAAACGTTTCTTGACGTTTGAGGAGTTCGACTCGTAGTGTGTCCGTCGGCCGTTGGAGACAGGAGACGAGGTGTTTGGAATGTGCCGTAGTCCACTGTCTTCTTCTTCTTCTTCTTCGAGGGCGACAACTTCGTCGTCCGAGTAGATGGAGCCGTTGCTGGCGAGTTCTTCGGGGGTACTGGTGGTTGTTTGGAATTCACTCAAAGCCGAGACGTCTTCGTCGTCGTCGTCTTCTTCTTCCTCTTCCTCCCCAACGTTCGGTCCGCCTTCCTCCTCCACGACGACGCTATCTACTGCCCCCTCCTCAGCCTCCTCCACAGGTGGGCAACTGTGGACGTCCTGAGAGCTTGCGTTCTCCGACTCCTCTCTTCCATCCAATCGGCTGCAGGCAGACAAGAAGACTAACCATAAGGCTTAGGCGTTACTTAAAACAAGTTTCTTCAAGAGGAATAACAACGCATCAGCGAGCTAGCGTCGTTCACAGTACAGTCGCTTACGAGTCCCATGAAAATAGCAAATTTGAAAATGGAGACGAACTGCACAACCCGTGATTTGATGCCACGTGACCAGACCGAGTTCAGAAAATAAACAAACAACAATAAGTGATTTTTTTTCCTTGATCGAGGAATACGTGACAAATAAACTTACTGGCCATTAGTAGACACAAATAGGGACACTAATTGCAACTCGTAACTTAGCAACTAGTGAAAACATTTCACAATAGAATAGAAATGCACAAAACAAGCAAAAAGACGAGTGAATGAAAGCGCAAGCAGTCACATGTCCGATTTATTCAAATATCGACAAGACGCTTTGCAATAGCAAAGCGGGAACGAAATACGTTGGTGGAATCAACTCGAGGCGAAATCGCAATGCACTCAGCGAACTCTCACCTAGCATGCCCCAGCTCCTCTTCCTCCTTCGCCGTCTGCATGGCAGCTGACTGGAGAGGTGCGGTGATGCAGGCGATGTCCAGTCGATCGGCGCGGGCACGGTGGCGGCTCGTCGGCCGATGCTGGTGACGCCGATGACGACGTCGTCCGAAATTCTTCCAACTGCGTGAACCCTGTCGAGGCGTCGGCGTTGACGTGGTGGCGTCAAGCAGACGTTCAGGGAGGCTGTGGTCGCGCAGACCCGACGGACCCAGGAGGCACGCTAGGTGGCAGAGGGCCTCGCGACCGCGTTCGCTGAGGTCGCCGACGCAGCCAGTGGAGAGGCGACAGAGGAAACGCAAGAAATGCCACCGATTGGAGTGGGTGATCTCCTCCAGGTACGGGAACGGTGCCTTAAAAGTAGAACAAACCACGTGGAATGCTGTTAAATAGTGTCAACAACATGCTACCTATTTGGTGGTTACTTGTCCAGCATTTCAATCATCTAATGGTGACGACTAATCGCCTTGTTTCAGCATTCACGATGGCCAATTCCTTTTAATAAGGGGAAGAACTGTAGTGAGTCGTGTTGGTTCACGTCCATCAAATCGGTCACCGCAAGCTCCGACACACCGCCCCTCCCTTTTCACTGCGTGCCCGACAGTCGTGGGGAACCGCCAGGTCGGACTGGCGGTTCATCCAAACTACAACGGCATTAGCCATGCACGACTTTGGATACACGAGACCACATGCCGACGACTTCCACAAAGCCATCAGCAAAATTGAAATAAGGCATAAAGAGTAGTGTGGCACAAAATCCTTAACAACGACGCCCGGCACAAAAGTAAGAAAGCAGCCAGCCACCTAGTGCCACATTTTAAAGTGGGTCTAAAGAAACTAAAGACAATTTTCGCTCCTTGCAGCCAGCCAGTTAAGCCAAACGAGGACACCATTTCAATGGTGATCGTTTGAGATGGGTTCGCGGTGGAAAACAGCACAGCCTCTAATTATGCGCAGTTTGGTGGCAGTATCGATTTTTGATTGATAGTAAATTTTGAAATTGGTTGATGCGGAAAAAGTTAAGAAGAACCACCCACCAATCCGGAATCGTGGGCGGACGAGCGCGCCAAGGCCTCAGCGCGCCGTCGCACCACCTCAGACACCGGAAGGGGGCCCGAAAAGACAGAACCGTCCGAGAACGGCGGCAGGGTGAAATACGAGGGCGTGGCGAATCGCTTCTGACTGGCGTAGGTATTGTACAGCCCAAGAAGTAGAGCCTCGAGAATGGCCGAGAGTGTGGCGAGGTTAGTGCCCGCAGTGAGCTCCGACGATGCCGTCGAACCACCGGTCGTTTCAGCGTTGGGAGTTAGTCCCGCAAAGATCCTGCGTGTTCGGTCTTTGACGGCAGAACTGACCATGGGACGTCGAAATTTGGGCGTCGTCGTCGTCGCCACACCCCCTGCCGACGATGAGGAACCCGGTTTCTTAAGACGTTCGCGCAGCGACTTGCGAGCACGCATGCTCTTGCCGTTAGAGGAGAGGAATGTCCGCGAGGAAGGGGTGGATATGGTGCAGGGTCGTGTGGCTGCGTGCTCGTCGGCACACACGTAAGACAATCCGCCGGAAAGTAGAGCTAGCATTACAAGACAAGAACGTCTAGCACAGTGTTCGCTTACGCCTGCATAGATTACACAAGACTGAAATAGCAAAAACTTATTGAATAATCTGAGGTAGTAAGATAGGCAACAAACCATTACAGTAGTAGCAATCAGCCCAAAAAAGATTACAGCTGTAGAGTGCTACTGTTTGAACCGCCCTATTAGGAAAATCATTGGATGCGTTCTTGGCAATTACTGTGGTCAACAAAACGGCCTCACACACTACATGAACCAGGCATTAGCGCGCGAACAAATGACATTACATTCTCGCATACGGCACACCCCGAGTAATTTAAATTGTTTTGTACTTTATACCTAACCATAAAACACGAGTGAGGCGAAACAATGGAGAGGATTAACAAAAAACATGAAAATTCACAATGATTACAATATATGACACGCTCCTGTCATAGCTAATACGGCTGTTTTGGCTTAGATTACCACAATAAACAAATTTATGGCGTTTTACCACTGGGATTTTAAGAAATGACGACTATAGCAGTAAGTTGCGTTTAAACTGCGGACAAACCGATCAGAGTCATATTGTGCACAAACTTATAGAAAGAAACTAGCACATATTTCGATCGGAATTGCATCAACAGCTTATAATTTGCCTATGATTGACAATATAACTAGCAAAGAGAAACTGTGAGTGGTTTGGTGCCTAGACGTGAGAAGAATTGGTAGTGAGTATCGACTACGGCAGAGAGATTTGTGGAGATTCGGGGATGCAAAAAACGTACTTGTTATAACGAGGTAGACATGTAAGAGGGTTGGGAGCAGGTCCATTACAAGTTGCTGAAGGCCAGAATTTGTACTTTGGGCAAAATAGTAGATGTGACCGCAGATTGTTTGGGCAACATTTATCGCCTCTGTGGTGCACACTGGCAAGGCGAATATTTCGTAGCAGAGGTTTTGGATAGCCTCGAGGATAACTGGATTGGCGATGGTTGTAGTGCACGCACTTTCATCTGACTGGTCTTCTGCCTTCTCTAACTGAAGGTGCCGCCTGGTGTTGAACCAGGTTTGAACTGGTTGCGGAATTTTAAGTCGCATGCCCCAATCTGGTTCTTAAAGATATTGGTGTCTAGATGTAAACAGAATATTGGCACACTTAAAAATAGCAACAAACCGCCCCTTTGCGCAGGGGGTGGCAAAACGCAGTAAGAAATCGATTTGACCTCGCATGTTTTCAAAGAAATGTAAAAGAAGCAAATGAAAGCTATTACAGACAACGAGGCAATGAGCAAAAGCAATCAAAAAGCATATTAACAAGAGGATGTGGTACCTCAGCCCAACCACTTTGCTGAGATTTTCTATCAGCCATGAGAGAAGTAACAAAAATTATCGACGACGGGAGTGTTTTTGAAAGAACTGACAATAAAAGGAAACCAAAATTCTCTAAAAAAATTCCAAATCCTACAGCACAACTAACCAGATAATAAACAGTAAAAGCAGCTGTAAATTATACCAAAAATAATTAACGTCAATGTAAGGAATGCCGGATTCAATGGGACTTGAGTTAATGCGTTTTACATGAAAAGAGAATTTCCCTCACCACATGATACAGTGTGCATTGATATTTTAAAAAATACACAGTGAAAATTAGCTAAGCATTAACAAAGTACAGAGATGCAATCAGGAAATTTCTATTACGTAACTGACCAGCACCAAGACCATACGCTAATATAAAAAAGACTGGAGGATGCGCTATTACCATAGAGCTTTTTAAACAAATAATTAAGCACTTTAGACATCTCTAATTACGAAGCAATCAAATACTTAAAATGTAGCGTATTCACTTAGAATTTGTTAATTTTATTACAGAGATAAATATTCATTTAATCCTTTTATATTTTTAGTAAACAGTAAAAATTTCAAAACGACGAACGACAACAGATAATTTAGACAGAGATCAAAAAACAAAATTTAGGGTGCAGTTTAGGTTGCATAAGCAAAACGCAGACAGTCTTATCATAGTCTTCATTGGAATAACTTACAGTCTAAACTTCAAATAATGTTAGTCATTCCCACGTATTTTTTATAGGAACTAACCGAATATATTTAACCGACATTTTCTGCAATTGGGAGTGCTTCCTCCAGACAGTCGCCAGGGTGAAGTGTCGTGCTCATAAGTTATCTTAGCTTATTATGCTTTTAAGCATTATTTTGTGTAAAATTATAAATTTCTGTCATGCCCAAATTTAAATTTTGATTACCGAATAAACTAATATATGCAGATATGTGTAATTGGGCGTATTCATATCGGGGACATATTTCATAACTGAAGATATAAGCGGAGCATGGACATCAGCAGTTAAAGAGCATTTTTAATGATATGCGGTTAGTGCGCAGTTTTTATATTTCCTTGAGTTATATTATGAAGAATGTACTGTGTGCATATGTCAAAATGGCTTAAAAGTTTTTGAAATAATTTATTAAATAGACTTGAACGCCAAGCGACCACTGTCAAAATATTTGACGTATTTGAACTATATGCTCGTTACAATATATAAATTGGTTAGAAAGTTGGCCAATTAACGTACCTACTAGTTTATTTTTGACTGAACATTGCAATCTGTGTTGTTTTAGGCTTTAGAGAAATTTAATTTTTAAAAAAAATAAATAAACGCTTTATCTCGTATTGTAATACCATTATAAACCGCATACAAATACTTACCATTGTAAAAATGACTTAAAATGCTTTTTAACAATCTTCAAGGTTGACTTTGACAGGTTTTAATTACCTAATTGATTGTATTTTGAAAAAGGCGAGATTATGGTCTGGTTCAAGGATTATTTATATTTAACACAGAGATTCTTTGGATTCTATCCAACTTTCACTATTTTTTTTAAATTTTTTGTGTGATGCTGTGGTAATCTTTTTGCTTAGACTGTCTTTTTCCAGTTAGAAAGTTACTGAAAATTACGACTGTATTCGCGTAAAATAGTCATTCTGTATTATTGTTATCTTAATAAACTTTTTGATACATGTCAGTTACTTACATGGAAGCTTATAAAGTCTAGTTTTGGGGCGGATGTACCGCTTTTAAACGTATCCTGCATACTTAACTCCGACGACAATTTGATCCTTATTTGATTCAACCAGATCGACCACAATTTGATGTAATTTTTTGAATTATTGATTGCAAAATCGTTCTTTTCATCAGTTTTAAATATGAAACAGGAATTATACTTCGAGGCATTTTCTTCGTCTTTGCTATAAGCACAAATATCAAAGCATTTTAACCCATTTACTATTTGTTTCAGATTGTGCTAAATATCTTCTTTAAGAACGTAGCTTTCTTTCATGCCCCGTATTTACGCAATTTTTATTGTTTAGATTTAGGTAAACTGAAAGCTGAATATACCACATGAAACCTGCATTGCCATGGCCGAACCTCCTTCAACTGATCCTGCCTTTTCAAACTGCGTCAATCGTGAGACCGCGCATCAGGAGTCAAGTACGTGGCTTTAAATCTCAAGTTTTATTTTCTTGTAAAGGTATTGTAATGACGTGTTTTGCTTCTCTGTTAGTCGGTGGCGAGGAGGCAGATAGGGGCCAGAAAAATGCAGTCCTGACTTCTAAACCACCACTGAGTCCAGTCGCGAGCCACCAGCCCCAGTTATCCCGCCGGATTTCTGGTTCAAACACGCTACCGCGCGCCCCTCAACCCAACCGCAACGCTGTACAAATTGGCGCTGTAGCCAGTTTGGCTATTAGTGGTGGTCTGAGTGGAGAGGATTTGCTGCGCCTCGGACAGAACCGACCGCCCCCAGTTTCAGTGCGCTCAACGCGCGGAGCTAATGTGTCTGCAAAAAATGGAACTCTGCGGATAGCTCTGCGTCGCGGTCATCACACAGCTCCACCAGGAACAGTTCAAATTGGCCGAGTCACTCGCGTTGCCCGCTGCGACATCTGTCTGTCCCCGCCTAACTCCGGTCTCTGCAGTTTCAACAGCAGTCCCCGAGGTTCTCCGCTTCACCTGACGCGTGTTGGAGGGATTGCAACAGACACGGACCGGAAGTCGTCGCTTCCACTGCTGCCCACTGACCAACTTGTGCGTGTGGGTCCAGGTAATGTGTTTAGCACAAAGGGACAGAGCTACTCACGGATCAACTGGTTTCCCCAACCCTACAAGTCAACATCCACGGAGGCCTCTTCTCCGCCCCCTGAGATTCCCACCAGTCGCGTTTCCGTTGACAGCACTACCTCCTCAAAACTTCCTCTGCTCTCAGACACTGATTACTTGCCGGCAGCTCCCATTTCCCCTGGTGGTCATTCTACAAGTTCAGGTTTGCAACCCGTTTTTTGTTAGTTTTCCTTTTACGCACCAGTAAAAAGCTCTGCCTCTGTTTTTGTGTTAAAACTTCAAATACTTTTCTGCACAGCTGAACAAAAATACCTGATAATTCTGAGTGCACTTTAATTTAATCGTTAATTTAACGGAAACTATTAACCAATCAACCCATTAGATTACTTTTTTAATGCATTCCAAGTGAAATCAAGTTTGAGTAAATTTTTGGCAGATGCATTTCATTTTAACGCACTGTTCCAACAAACGTAGGCACTTGTTTTTGAAGCACAGCTTTGGTAACGCGTCTAGTTTGGAAGTAATGCCGATTTGCCACTGTAGACGCACAGATTGGCGACCAGACGCACGCATCGTGTCCCACACCCGCGACATCTGAGGAAGGCTTTCATTTCTTCGGTTCGTCCTACCCCACCCCCTCCTCCGTCTTTGCCAAGCCCCAGACACGAGTTGTCACCGTCGACGTCGGCAGACTGTCACCCTCGGCTGATGCCAGGTAATTTGCTCACAAATTTCCGTCAAATTTGAGCAATTTGTCTGCATGCCACTCGAACACCGCGTCTCATTACACCCTTCTGCTGTTTACCATTAAAAATTGCTCTATAATTTGTACCTGGAGTCAAATTTAAAGCAATTAGCCATGTTTTAGCAACAGTAGATTTGGTTCTTTGATCAAAACCTGTGTCAGGACATATTTTATAGAACACAAAATCGAAGATAAGCAGATTCCCAAACAGTACTGTGTCAGATCCCTTGTCACGCCGCCAGTTCCAATTAAAGCCAATTTTGACCACTTTCGACCGACTTAAACGTCCCACTGTCCAATCAAATAAATTTTTTGCGCATGAATTTCAGCCCACTTGGTAAATGTTTTATTTTGATTAAAAAAACTGTGTCTGGACATCTATTAAAAGGGAAAAGCGGAAATTATGCAATCGCAGGCAATCCTGGCCGTTCTTTTATTCAACTACTTGTTGTCCTTTTCAAAAAACCCCACTTAGCGGAGTCCACATGGCTCTCATACTTGTGTGATTGTAATTTGCCGACTTTTCGGCTTAACAGCACGAAAGGACAACGTATGTAAACAGTGTAGAATCGTTTTTAAAGAGAACATTTTAGCAGAAAATGCCACTGTCAGATCTTCCCTTTTGCTTATGTGTTTAACAGATTAGAAGCTGTACACCAACAGCGTCTGTATCAGCAGCATTTTGCACGGAGCGTACGGAATCTACGACGATACCGCCACATCTACGGTGATTCGGTGAGTTCGTGATTTACACTTTCCGTGTCTTATCTGTTTTCATCCAACACGACAAAATCACTGCCTTTTCGGTTGAGACAAAGAAGGAGAAGGCATTAGCTGAAGAATCACTGACCTTGACTTTTGTAGCTCACGTCGATTCCGACTCCTAGCAAGGCCTCCTCACCGCCCACCGAAGACGACCGGAACGTGGCCGTGAGGTTGACGCTGCCGGTGCAGCATCGTCGGTGTTCGGCAGACGAAGCGCTCATCTCCGTCGGCAGCAATGGAACGGAGGCAGCCGGTTCCACGCGAGAGGCCTCTTTCCTTCCATCCGACACCTCTCCAAAGATGACCTCTGCAGAACAGCATCAACGACGACGACGACGGCTCTTCGTCGCCCACCGAGCGGATCACAACACAACCTCACAGGAACAGATGGTGGATGTCGTCGTTGCCGAAACAACCCACCCAGACCATGTACTACTTCGTTTGTGGCTTTGAAATACTCAGTTGATCGTGTCGATAGGACCTGGTAGTTGAAGTGTTGGGTTGAATCAACTACAAGAATTTTTGGGCAGCGGGCAGGCACAACGCTGCACGCAGGCACTAAGCACTGCATTAAAACAACTTCATGACCTTTCAAATATTCGCGCCGCCGCCGCAGAAGTCAGGAATCTGCGCCGAGGTGTTTTCCTTTGTGGCCTAGTCACATGCCACCACGCGAGTTGAACTGTTAAGTGTGTGTGTGTGTGTATGTGTTATCTGGGACGAATATATCTTGGCTGTTGCCTGTGATGTGCAATCCACGGAGCCAAATATTGCATAAACTTAAAACCGGTGACTCATTCAACTGTTGTTTCTCCGCCTCCTTCCATTTTGGCCTGGTTTTCGAATGTCGCGCGTGGCAATTTGACCGTGCAATTAGCGCAAACCAGACTGATCGATCCATGCGAACACAAATCACCTCCATTTGCCGCCTACTTTTAACCAAGCGTTGGTATTTTTAATGTTGTAGACACAATCCAAGTTGTCATGGCTTCGCAGAGGATGTTTTGTGCACAAGGGATACATCTTTTTAACTCCCGTAGCCGAAAATGCGGTGACTAAATGCGGTACGAAAGTAAAAGTAAGTTGTGTTGCCCATCTGTCGGTTTTTGTTTAAAGTGGCTTTGAAAAAAAATGGCCGCTTCCGGTTGGTTGAGTACTGTTTAGATGATTGGTAACTAATTACAGTAGTTAAGAGTACACATAACCATTTACGAAATTCGTAGGTGAACTTATAAATGCACCCCCCCACACACACATATATTGAAACACAAAAATGTATTTATTTTGCATCGGGTTTGTGAACCACATGTACATTCACAAAGCCAGGTTGGTTATGGTTAAGTACATTTTTACTGTGAGATCTAAAAGCTAGTGGCTTTCAATTATCTACAAAATCAAGTCATTTTAGCAAGTAATCGAAAAATGACCGATTCCCCCGCCTTTTCAAATGCTCCGCGTTCTTCTTGTTTTACCGACTAGCGAATTGACCAATTACGATAACACGCGCGCTTTCAAAGGTTTGCACTTCCCGTCTGTTAATTTTTGCCCTGTTATAAATATATACACACACACACACGCAAGACGAATCAAATGTCACGTTTACCGAGCGAATTCCATTCGTTGCAGTCTAAGAACCCTTTAAATGCCCCGCCGCAAATGGGTTAACAAAAACGTGATTTCGCGCGAGCGGGAACATGTGAATAGAGAGTGGTGGGTGTGGGGTTGCACCACCTAACTCCCTCTACAAATTCTCCTATCGGATTGCCGCATTAGTTGGATTTCTAGATTTGTCCGTAATCAATTTCGCGATAGTTCCGCGCCAAAATTGAATGCTGCTGAAATCATGGAGATTTAAGAGAAAAGTCGTGGTGCACGGAAACACATTATTTCGCGATGTTAGGATGCTATCCAAATTTTCGTCAAATCGCCACACATTTAAATCGTGCTGGGTAGTAATCATGCCTTTTTTAACCCTAAGCCAAATTGGTGAAAACTTTCTTTTTTAAATTGACACGGAATTTTCCGGTAATGCACCTAAAATACTGACGCGTATGCTGTTGGTGCGTTTGAAGGCCACTTTTCTGACGCGCGACGGACAAAAGAGTTGTTGATGTTTTTTCTGGAAAAGTGTTGATTTAACACCTGGCGGGACGCGGTAGCCGTGCCATTGCATCCCTTGTGTGTGTGTGTGTATGTGTGTGTACGTGGGTGTTTGTTGGTATTGACCAGCCAATCATCGATGCCTCCGTGCCCACAGTTGGCCGAATATAGCCTCTTGCCTATTAACTTATGGCCTAATTTGTTCCCATGGACAGCAGTGCATAGTTCAAAGTTAAATCTTCGATTCCGCAGTGAATAAACACACTCCTCCTTGCACTCTCTCTCACCAACATTGCAACTTTTCACGGTGGCCGGTTAAACGTAGCACGCCACACGGCGTAGCGGTGGTGCTGCTGCTGTTGGCTCTAATCAGCTCGATTTTACGGTGTCACGCGGGACCACGCGCCACGGCATTCAGACTGCGCGCGCTCGCGGATGCAAAGAAATGCCCTGCCTTCATTAGTTCTACCAGCGACGGCAAGAAAAATTGCCGTCCTTGGGCGCACAAACGCGCAAAATTTAAAAATTGTGTGTGTGTGAACGTGCAGGGTGGTGTGTAACGAGGCAGTCCTGCGTTCCCTTGCATGCACACGTGTTCCCTCGTCGTTACTATAAATACCCCACTGGTTCTCCCAAATCCCATGTAATCCCTCCCTTGAAACTGCCTGCAAGCGGGCTATAATGACGCTCTAAATCGATAAGAGGCACAGCATTGTGGATATCGATCCAACCTCTTGTGTTTCTGATCATTTAGCCCTCCCTCGAACCGCCATCCTCGTGCGAGGGGACCTGGTGTTACCCCCTGAGGCGATGTGAGTTGAGGTGGTCGCAAATTGGAGACACGGAGCGCCAATCAGTAGCCGATTGTGGACTCCTGCTGACCAATCACCTTCATCCGCTGTGCTGTTCACTGCGTGTGTCGCAGGATGATCGCATTTCACTCGACTACACGTGTCGGCTATACTTCCCACAACAGGACAAACCACTTGACAATCTGCTTGTCGATCTTAATGCACCATCGGTAAGCACATTACGACTGTGTAAGTGGACTTGGGCAATTGGGGGAAAAATCGATAAAAATCGATATCATGTGTAAGGCGCACAACTCAAATCCAACGGAAGAGGTTTTTTCCTGGTAAATGCAGCTCCAGCAGACCAATTTGACTCTGACACCACGCATTTTTGGCCGAACACGCTGCCGCGGTCACGTGCTGACGTAAGAACGACTTTTTTTGTACACTGCAAATGCAGTTGGCGAAAGCGAGTAAGAGACGCTGTGGCCCTTTCTTTGTGCGTCTCAACGTAGGTGGAATCGATCGTCCATGACATAGACTCGCTTGAAGACAAAGTCGAATCTACCACGGTTCATTAAAACAAATAACAGCTAGCTACTGCCATTGGTAGATTAGTGAGGATGACGAAACACACGGGAGTTGCCTCATCGTCATTAATTGGATTGATTTGGATTCAATTTTGAGGTCAATATTGCAACCTTGCCCCAATTACTCACTAGACAAGTCTACATACAGAAGAAAAACACAGACAACTGCTCGATACGCGAGAATCAATCACCGTGGGACACAGCTACCGTGGCAACCAAACAGTTAATTTTCCAACCAATCGGAAGAAGCGGCACCAAATTGACAAACACCATCATTATCAGTAGGGCAGTGAATTATGACAAGTGTCCGAAAGTGTCGATGACATTTTTACGGATATTTCTAAGCATGCTCGTTATTTACGCGTAATTGATTGGTTCAAGCAGGCTGATCTTCTGTAGGTCAACCCAAGGTCAGTTCAAACTGTCGAAGGTCAAATGTGCCCTTGCACGACAATCCTTGGCTAAAACATTGATTTTGCATTTAAATGTATTGATTATTGTTTGTGAAATTCCGTTTTGCTCAAAAAAGCACTTTTCCTGTATTTGAGGGCAAACAATGTTCGAAAAACGTGAGCGTTAAAAAATACTTCCCTCAACATTTTCTGCGAAATGAAAAAAAAAATAAATACTACTTTTAATGTTCTGCCCAAAAAATGTGTTGGCTTAGTTTTTTGCACATAAGCGTCGTGTTTTGCCACCTGGGCACGTCATTGGCCACCCCCAAAACCACGTGATTGGATGATCGATCGATTAATGGTAACATGAAGCAGTATTTTACAGTTCATTGGCTGTATTGTTTAAAACAATCGTTTATTTTTTTTTTAAATATGAGGGAGGGGTAGAATATGGTGACCAGACTTCCCGTCATCGGATGATTACGACAAAGGACTGGGGCTGAAAAAAAGATTGATGAAATCGAGGAGGATCCGGGAGTTTGTACGCCACAATTTAAGTGTTCCTGAAGTAGATCAAACTTAAAATTTACCTCAGGTTAAATCTGTGGCCGAGTAAACGCGCGCAGTGAAGTTTGGCCAATAGTATGAGCGTGCGATTTTAATTGAATGTTTGCCTTTCGAAAAATTCAATTTAAAAAAGTATTTAGTATTATTATATAAATATAGCGTTTTGCCCATCACACAGTCAACATACGCGTTTGTATAGCATTCCACTGCTTTAATTTTGATCCATTTGACCCTTTCCGATGGTTTTTGCAAAGTCGTCGCTATAATTTTCAGTGCTAAATTAATTGTTACTCAAATACTGTCAGTAGTTGTGTTTGTGTTAACAACGTGATCAGTAGAAAACATCGTCACGGGCTAAATGTGATGTTACGCTTTTTTTTCATTTTTAATGTTTTCAGGTAGCTTCGATCGCAGAACTGGCAGCGTACCCTCACATAGTTTGCTTATTGTTAACTTTTGGTCGTAGTTTGCCAAATAGCGGATACTGTCTGAACCCTAACCGACCTACACGTGACGTGGTCTCGTTTACTACTCTGTTGTCAGCTTTAAATGTTTCAGTCTTAAGCGACCAGCCTAAAACTTCCAGTTTTTAAGCTGCACATTCATGTGGCGACCTTGAAAGGGCTTATTGGCGAACGGGCCAATGGGATGAGTGCGCGGTCGACATGAATCTGATAAATGTCGCACATTGACACCAAACTGTGGTGATAACCTATGGTTTCCCTAGAATAGATTTCCTTTTTTAATACGTTTGCAAGATTCGGGGAATGTTTTCACCATACGATACCACATGCAGTAAGTGCTAATCACCTCTGCATTTCATTTAAACAAAAACGCCAATGAAAAACTCCCTCATCTTCCGCCTCAGTACCTACCCAATCAATGTGCGGTGGTTTAATCTAACCAAGAGTGTCCTTTTCGCGACGGTTAATTTTTAAACAAACCCCGCGCAATTACGCGAAGCACGATTGTACGGTTCGCGGAGTCAGCCAATAGGGATTGAGTGATGATGTGTTTTCGACGCGTCTGTTTGTTCGTGGACGCGTAAGTGGGATTTAGCTCTCGACCAATGAGACTGCGACAACCATAAAAGCGATCGCCTACAAGAGCGCTCGAAGCGCCATTGCCCAAGGAACTTCCTCCTCCTGAACACACACACTAGTCTGGAGTTAAACTAGCCATGGATGTACACTCCGCGTGCTCAAATGAACTGGTTCCTTTCTGAGGTCAGTTGTGCAAAATTTCGAGTGCCTCTCACGTCTCATCTACGATTTTGCGAGAAGGTTCCCTTGAAAACTCGTTCAAATGCAAAAAAATTGATGTATTATTTACTTGTCCAAAATGCAAACTGTAGGAGAAATGGGCCTGTCGTCTCCAGAGTGTGTTTGAACCCCCCAAATAGTCAGGAGCTGTTGCCATGGCGTCATCATTGCAAATTCAGCCAATTACATTAGCACTTTGTAAACCTCCCTTCATCTACCAATCAGGGCAGCGTTCTGAAATGCACGACTGATAAGATTGGTTCCTGATTGCGTAAGCGCACAACACCACGCGAAAGTTTAAAATTCCTTTTAACGCGATTGGTCAGCAGGGGTCTATAATCGGCTGCTGATTGGCGCCCGTGTCTCCAATTAATGACCACCTCAGGGGGCAACATCGAGTCCCCTCGCACGAGGGAAGAGGGTTTGAGTGATGACTAAATGACGGGTGTAGCCACAAATATAATATTGTATCTAGCTAGCATTATCGCTGTGCTGATTCAAGACAATGCCAAATCACAACTTCTGGCCCAAAAATATAATTTTCTCGTTTTTTAAAAAAATGAGGAATTAAAACACAGCATCTTCCAAAAAAATTCAGAAAATGCTAAAATCTACGGCATTTTATTGGTTTGTTCCGAAGTGAATTCGGTAATGGGCCCTGGTTATCGTGTTTTAATGCAATTGAATTTGTGTGGCGCCAAAAGTAACACGTTTTCGTACTTCATCGCGCAATTACCATCTCATTTATGTTGTTTTATTTTTCAAAATAATTGATTTGAATCTCCACTCTAAGTGGTTTGTCAGTTTAATATCGTAATTTTTGGCTGCGGCTTTTAATCGGTGTTTCGTTTAAGGAATGACAAATTACACCAGCACATGCTCTTTTTTTGCAAATCTTAGTTGCGCATGTGTGGCCCATGAGGGTTTAGTTGGTACCCCACAGGACGGAACAACTGTTACCAAAAAATACTGATCCCTGGATTAATTACAATGGCGGACATTGCTTAGAAATCTAACTAGTTGGAGCACAGCTGGTAGCGTAATTTCTCATGTGATTCCGAAGGCGTTTTCACCAATGGCCCTTTGTAGACGGAGGCGTCCGGTGCAGAAGACGGCCCCGGCGACACCGCAAAAGTGGCCCAAACTCACTTCGAAGGTCTGGCCAATTCCGGCCAGGGCGCTCGTGGTGGCGGTGGTGGTGGTGGTGGTGGCGTCGCTGGTCCCCCCGGTGCGTTCCCCCTCATGGTTGCCGCGGAGACCCTGGCTGCGAGTTTCGGCGTCCACGTGAGCCGAGGTCAGGCCGGAGGAGGTGTCGACGCCCAAGGCGCCCCGTCGAAGTCTTCTGCGGCTTCAAAAAAGGCCGCGTCTTTGAAGAGTGGCTCCGGATCTACTCCACTTCGACAACCGACTCAAGGTTGGTTTGCGAAGAACATCAGGCGATTTTTTCAGTAGACTAAGCTTGTCACGTGAGTTCCTGGTTCCAGCAATGACGTAGATGGATCTAAATTCTTGCGTTGAGACAGAAACCGTCGAATCACACGGTGGACACTACGTGCACGAGTTTGATGGAGGTTCCACCAATCAGAAGCAGGAATGAGTTTCAGACACCAATCATTTTTCGACAAATTTGGATGGACAAGATTCCACAATCCAATTGATTCCAAAGTTATAATTTTAAATTCATTTTCTTAAATGCATTAATTCAATTCTTGATGTCCTTAATATGTAAATTAGTTATTGTTGAGGTTGTCACTTAACAACTCAAAAATGATTGGCTAACAATGCCCTAATGGCCATCTAAACCCTAGTAAATTTGTTTGGGTTCGGTTTTGAAGCCAGTGACCTGTTGTAAATTTTATTAAATTAAAAAATCTGGTAAAATGTCAACATTTTTATCTGTTTTTTTTTTGCCTAATTTAGTACTCAAATGCACTCTTCGTGTAAATTTAGCAGCTTCAAATGAAATTAAACAAAAATCCAAAGCATTTCCGAAAATCCCGTAATTCATTTCATTCCTTGTTTAGCTTTAAACCTCTAAAATTAGAATGATTTAAACAAACCTACTCGTTAATCATTTTTCTATTTAAAACGAATTTTTGCCATTTTAAATCGCTGTTGGCAATAAATAATGTTTGTATTCTAAATTTGACACGTTAACGCAGTGACCGTTCACACGGCATCGCACCGACGCCACATAAATAACTCGCAGACTTATGATCTGCACAATAATAAAATTGCGGCATTGCATAAATTATACAATTGAATTTCACATCATCATATCAAATCTGGGCGTGGTACGTATGTAAATTGCATTCTGCAACGTTGCACAAATCTGTGACTTCCCTTTCCCTGGTATCTCCATTTTTTCCAGAATCTAGGCAATTAATTCAGTAAACACACGGAATAAAATTTGCCGTTTGAAGCCTGCGACAAAACAAAACCAACGCGATGTGCGCGATTCGGTCCGTGGATCAGCCAATCAATTTCATTGATTTTGCAGTTCAACTGGAGGCAACTTCGCCTTAATGTTCGCGTGTGAAAGATTAATTTCTGCCGTAGGTTTGCCATTTACGGCGTGGGCTGAATTCAGGCGCGAACTATGGCATACACTTGTCTTAGTCAGGGAAAAAAACAATTTGCAAGAAATCACAAGTAAGGAAGGAGACACAGAAATTGAATAAAGTGGTGAATAAAATTAAAACCGCAGACACCCAACTTTTAATCATGGTAAACAAACAAAGTGTCATTTAAGAGAATGATAAAGAATATTAATATATTTTGAGAATAAAGAAAATAAGGGGTAGCTAATTCCCTAGGAAAGTGTTAGACTAAGTAGATAAGTGCTCCTAACTCTTAGAATATCTTGTCACAGTCTGTATTGTACTGTAACCTCGCGTGCAATGTTGTGTCTTTATTTATAACAAAGTCACACTCTCGGTTTTACGCCCAAAAAACACGACAAATTTAGTAATGTCTAATTTTGATGAATAAAATTAAGTTTATATGTATGACCAGTTATTTTTGGTTTCTAATCATGGCTCAAAATTGAATAATTCGAATATTTACCCTCATTTGTAAGAAGAATTAATGAAAGGTGTGAAACGAAATCTTCTACAATGTGTTTACACTGGGTTCCTACGTGGATGTATCCAGTATGGAATAATTCACTTATGTGATGTCCTCTTTCTAGTCAAGTTTATGCAAAGTTCCTTGCAATGTAGTCAAATATGCTTTCACAGAAAAATATCTTTGAGAGAAATCACTTGGCGATTTTTTGAAAAAAAAATTCCATTTCCTGACGCCCATTCTCATTTAACGATTCGCGCTTTTTGCTTGAACATATTCCAAAGTTATTTTTCATATTTGAATTTACTGCCAACAGGTAGCCAATCGCATTGCCGATGGGCTTAAACCTATTCGCCCACAATTGTTCTTCTTGGACTAATTGCTGCTCTGTTGTTGTGACGTCACTTACCGTTTAAAAGGGGCCTTTCAAACAGTTGTCTCCACTCGGACATCATATCTTTTTTTTCTTTTTGGTCCTTTGACAAGCACATTTTTTTTATAAACCGAAGAGCTCAAAGTCTGGATAAAAGATTTTTTTGTCTACGTTAGAGATTCACTACAACTTAAGCCTGAAAATCGATCGACGTGGCAACTCGATTATTATCATCGCAACCACACACATCACGTCACTAATGCTCTCTTCAACAAACGCGTCCCTAGGCGTTTGGTAATTTGCATATATGTGCTTGACACAAATTTATGACCTGAAACATTTAGCATGAGCTAAATTTTTCCACCCAAAATTGTATCGCTCATTTCTAGTCATTAAAGTGGACCAGGTTTTGGGGTTATTTTGTTTGAACAGTGAGCAGTTTATAGCTGTTTGTTTTGGAATTTGCGTCAGAACACGAACTTTCTGTAGGCGACAACGCGGATTGCGGTGAGGACGTTTCTCGGCTCCTGATTGGACAAAACAGGGGGTAAGAAATGAAGCAGTCAGGCGATTGGTTAAGCACGACCCAATCAAAAATCAGTTGCCACATTCCGAAACTAGGCGATGCAAATCGTTCGGGCGTTGAGCTCTTCGTATACTTGCCGAAATAACTGAGGCTAACTGGGGATCAATAGTTTGTAACTACCATTTGACGTTGTGGTTAACACAATTGTGACGGAATCGTGAGCTAAAGACATGGGAAAGGTATCTACTGCGCATGCTCTGTCCACGAAGAAATTACTACTTTCAGAGAACACCGATCATAAATCTTGAAAGTAGAAGTCTGATAAACTACCCAAAAAAATATTATTAAACTACAGACTACTAAGATAATTTTTTGCCACTTACTAAATCCTTTAACGGGTTGCACTCGCTTGAACGCCAGTACAGCTCAACACGAGGCGCGGAATCGATCTTGTATCGATTTTTGCCGGCTGCGTCATGCAGGTTGAACGCTTGAATGTGCGTTAGTGATTAGGTGGAATGAGGCAAATTTGTGCGCTCTGTAGATCCTGGGACTTTTTTCTATTTTTTTTTAACGTTTGGCTTGAAGCCACTTGTGAATCGCCTTGCCAGTTGGGACGCGAAAGAAGTGAGGTCAACGTGCACTTTAGCTTGACCTATTTCCACATGTGCATTGGCCCGATCAAAACATATCTTCTAGACATTTGAAGGTGCGTCAGTAAAATCACACTAGATGTGCAGTTGTACACTTAATCAAAGCACATTGAAATTAGTAAAGCCGAAAGAAGGAGCCCAGCAGAAGACGAGGAGGGGAGAAGCCATTGGTGCACGCGAGCGGGCGAAAGCCGTTGTCTGTCTGGATCACAGCAATCTTCCTGGGTAACCAAGAGTGAGGGTGCTGAAAAGCATACAATCAACCAATCAACTTCTTTCTTTCAATACATACCAAAGTTTTAAGCGAATGTGCGTGTGAGTGCTTGCAGTCGTGTGCACTTTTAAAACTTAACACGTGAAGCATCAATTGGCAAATCATCACATCAATCGACGTTCGAGTCTCATTTTATCGATTTTGATCCCTTCGTACCGTAATATAACAACAACAACTGACTGTTGCCCTTTCGTAAGGATTCAGAACGTGGAGCTCGCTAAATCTTGTGGAAATGGCATTTTTGAGGGGCCATCTGCAGTGACTATATGTCAACAGGAACAAGTCCCTTTTCCTGGTTGGACTAAAGTACTCTCCAATTGGTCGAACTCTGAATTCCGCCCTCAGCTAAATGCGTGTTGACGAACAGTCCACATGCATCATCCCTCAGTCTGTTCACGTGTTTCAAACATTCGCTTTGCCACAAGTTTGTTTGAGTTAAATCCTTGGAGGTAGCTTCCGATTCGGCCAACACAACTCCCCACCTGTCGAATTCGACGACTGTTACGCATTTCAACTCGTCAAAGCGATTTAGATTGTAGTGGTTGGGGGAAGGGGGTGAGAGGTAGGGCGGTGTTGGGTGTTAGGGCTTGGCTGTTCATAGGATACACGATTACTGACCCTGCCAGCACCAAGCACACCATTTGTCCATCTATCGCATATCCGTACACTAAAGTCGTCTCAAGATTTCGCAATACACACACCGAATATCAAGTGACTTAGTTACGCCATCGTTGTTCTAACAGAAGAGGATGCCCACGAAGTGGTAGGCAGTGCTTCTTTCAAATGTGACTCTTTAAAACAGGATTACAAATGGTTGATCCAGTTGGTAGCTCAAATCACTGTTGCGGTGCGCCTAGCAACATTGATGATCATGTTGACGTTTGCTACCTCTGTTCTCGAATGTTTTTAAACAAATGGGCGATTTTAACTGGCTCACAGGACCCCTTCACCGCAGATTGCATTCGAGGTCCAAACGATCTACTGGAAGTGGATTGGACAGTCGAATGTTGATTGGTTAAACTAGTGAGAGCGATAGTTTGAGAAAAGAAAGTACTCTTAGGCCATCGGCAGCATTGTATTTAACGAAGAACCTCAGTGGGGATGTTCTTTCGGATTTTGTGTAGCAATGGTGTCAAATACTACTGATTCGTTACCGCCGCCCTTAGTATGCTGTCTGAAGTGGAAGTAGTTGGCCCATTTAGAACAGACAATAAAACACCCTACCACCGATGTTCCCCTCAGATTCACCAGGCCAAGCTCCAGACGTGCAGACGACGCACCAGAAGAGCAGCATTCTGCGTTCCACGTTCGCACGCATGCGGCAGGTGGCGTCTGGTGGCCAGATCACCGGTGGCGCCGCCGCCCCCACCTCCTCCTCCTCCACCGCCTCTTCGCCACCCTTTACGACATCCACGACCTCGAGCAGTGCCGGCTCGCCCCCTTTGCGTTCCGCTTTCCATCAACGCCTGGCCCACTTCTCCCAGACATTCACCCACGATAAACCAAGTCCGCGTCGGCGCAAGCTCCACCAGGTAAGGCTGTCTGGTTCTCTCGAAACATCGACTACTCCGTTATTATTACTATTCTTCTTTCCATCCAATTAGATCCACCGGAGCTATCAGTCCTACCAGCCTCCACAATCTCCTGACACTGGCGTGGAAGGTGGCGGCACGAGGTCGGAGGTCGCCGAGTTGGGTGATCGCAAGTACACCCAACTCCGTCTGCCCCTCACGGCTGTCCTTGAACCGAGCAATTCCTTCCTCCAGTCTCTCAGTGACGAGATTCCTGTTAATGGTAAGCTTCTTTGCTTGGAAGACAATTCACGCTGCCACAGAGGTCACGGTATGAGTCTGGCTCAACCCGGTTATGTAATTGTGTAACTCTGATCCAGCAAGTACGGTAGGACGTATCAAAAAGACATGCCTAGCCGGAAACCATTTCGAGATTTTGAAATAACGCAAATTCGCCAAATCGCAAATCTCACCAAACATCACGTGATTTTGGAAATATCTGCAGTTTTCTTTTATAATTAACGCAATTTGCCAAATGACTCGATTGTGTGTCGCTAGTTAAGATTTGCCCCAACCAATGAGCAGCCCTTAGTTTCCAAGGTCAAACGACATGTGTGTTTTTTTTCTTCAGCAAATTCATAAATTACAGATGGGCGCGATGTGTACTTGCGTGCCTTTGATTAATTTAACCCTTCGTAAATGAAACACACAAAAACACACACACACACACTTGTACTTCACAGCGGGTGCGATGGATCCTGCCTAATTTTATTGCTCTTGACCTTGAATTAGCCAATGAGCTTGCTGTAACCATGCCAATGCAATTGGCCGTAGTCGACACTGCCATGGTTGCAGCGACGGGAGAGAGCGCGTCTGAAGAAGCAGTTGAATTCGCGTCGATGCATCAGTCCCTCGTGAGCGTGGAGCAGACTGTCTCGAGCAATGCCGACTCCTCCACGTCTTCCCACTCCGTGCGTTCTTTTTTGTCTAAAATTCCTGCACCTCTTGAATTGCCGTTTGATGCCTTGGCAACAGACGAGCTGATTTATTTTATCTTGCATTATATGCGATGAAACTGCCATCTTCCTTGATATTTCATGATTGCAACTTTGAAACATGGTAATCCGGTAGTTCGGAATCAGGTAAATCGCTGGGAGATACCAATTTAATTCCAAAAATTGTCCACCATCGACGCCAATTCTAGCCACTTTCGATTCATTGTTATCCCATTCAGTTTCATTGGTAGTTTGGCAGTAGGCACCTAAATTGTTCGTTTGTGTTACCAACCCAACTCAGATTATGCGACTCGTTTGTAATTTGTCGCTATTGGAGATGGGCCGCCTTTTCAGCACTGTTTTAAAAATGCACTGTCAAATTTTATTTGTGTTGCCCGCCACAGAACTTGTTTTAAGTAAATTTCTCAATAAATTAGTTGTTTAAAACAAACTTTGCGGTGTCTTCATGCTTTTCACAATACAAAAAAAGAGAAAAGGTTTACAAAAGTGGTACTTTTTTATCACTGCATGTTAAAAATTGCTCTCACGCTGACAATTGATAGTGACACGCTTCAGAATCTTGTCAATCTTGACATCATCAATCAAATATATGTGGGAAAAATTCCAACAGCGTCAGCGGTAATTTGTAAATGTCCTCATCGCTGACCGTTTGTGAAACCCGAAATTCCCTTCTTGCAACCTCGTTCGTTTGAAACGGTCGATGGATAGCGTTTGCACCATTGTGGTGTGAATCATAATTCGCTTGTTTAAATCCACCAATTCCATGACAACCTCAACCAATGCTTGCTAATTGGTGTACGTAGAATCTGAGTGTTGTGGTAGTTAGTAAATTGAAGTATTGAGATTTACCCAAAGAGGGGGGGGCGTTTTCTTATTGGTCGATTTGTACATTTTGAGGTTGGCGGGGTGGAAGGGCAAAGTAAGCCAAGTTCTCGTGTTGAAGGAACTCATTTCAAAACCATCTTTACCTTCTACCGTGGAACTTTCGAAAAATGTGGAATTTATTTTTTACCCAGACATCGCTTCGTTGTTGTCAAGACACAAAATTTGGACATTAAAGGTCATTTCAAATTGGCTTGGGCATCAAACCACCTCTAGTAGGTCCCATGATGAAATTGGCAGCCTTTAGTGATTGCCCTGGTGATTTTCTTGAAATATCGGCTCCATTTAAACAAGGCGAATGGACGAATCGACCAATTTTGTATTCTAACGCAAGTGATTCTATCGCGTATTGCTCAACTGCAGCATCCGTACTTTGAAAGGGAGTTGTATGCGAGGATTCGTTTATATTTTGAAATAACTTGGAATGGAAATATCTTAAAATCGAATCACGTCACCTGTCCATGTCCGTGGTCATTGCTGAAATGACTCACGGGCGTTTTCATTGGCTGAGAATTTATCTACTTGTCAAGTCGAGTTTAACGCATTACTCATCACTGTTTATCCATGAAAAGTTTTTGAAAGGAAACCTAACGTTATTAAGAATTTACGGGGAGAAAAAAGGAACATTTTTCTTTCTTTTGTGGCCGATTCAGAGCACTGTTTTTTGTGTACAAGTCGGTCACATTTGTGTATGCGTCCACTTGGCTAAGCGAGCCAAACGAGTGTGTATAAGTGTTTGTTTCTTGTGAAATTTAGCCCAAGTGGTACTCAACTGACTTGGAATATTACTGGTTCTTTTTGGAACAATTTAGCACGTGTCTCTGTTACCTATCGAAGTGAAATTCTGCATTGATTTTAAGTGATGCTTAATACTACAAATACCAGGCATTCAGACTTCCAATTAACCGCCAGAAAATCCGTTTAGACCGCAACCAGACTGAAGCATTCATTTGTGCTAGGAATAAGTTAGAGTGGGCTGCGTCATTCGCAGCATTCAAACCACACAAACACACACACACACACGCACACGCATTCCTCTCAAGTGCGGCTACGTTGGTAGTGGTCGCCGTCTGATTCCCTGGGCTGTCATTCTCCAGTGTGGGGTTTGGGTGCAGTTTTCCACAATTTTATTTTGCAAAATTGGAGGCCGCCTTAAAATTGCCTTGCTGAAATTTTGATAGAGTTCACAAGTTCCACTTTGTTCATCGTTCTATCAACTTCATGATTTGCGTCCTCATCTGTCAAGTGCTTGCTACATCACCTGCCAGCATAACTCCAAAAGCGCCCATAATCTTGTCTCTCTACAATCGTGTGTTTAGGGGAAGGAAACAGTGGCGCAGACGTCTAGACGTCTGCTTCGACGGCCAACCGATCCAGCCCTGAGCGTCGAGCTCGGATCTGGTGACCTTCAGGAGGCCATTTTGATGGAACCACCAATCCTCTATCCTGAACGCTCATTGGTCGGATCTCTGCCACTGCATCAGTGTGCTCGAAGCACATTCTCTGCTGTAAGCCTTGGGGCATGAGATTTTAATAAAGTGATGCAATAATCTTCACTCTATAGCCTGTAGAGTAACCACTTTGAGTAACCAATCAGCTTGAAAGGCCACATCACCAGTCAATAAAACACCTTCAATTATGGCGCGAAACGCGAACTGCATTTGGAAAGTTTGTATACGGTGCCAACCATAGAGGCGTTTGACTGTGTAGTCACATGATCATTTGATAGTCGTATGAGCAATACTACTAACCATTATAAGTAGACGCTCTGTTAGAACCTGTCGATTTTCTTGTCTAGTTTGTGCCGTTTGTGGTGGAACTCTGCGTCACTCTGGTGGAGAAATTCGGTCTGAATTGTGTCGGAATCTACCGGGTCTCTGGCAACAAACTAGCGCATGACTTTATGGCAGCTGAGCTGTGCAAGGTATTGGTGTTATTGCCTTGTTGTCGATGCTTAATCTGCGTTCAAATTAACACCATGTGCATTGTTTTCGCACGCATTCCATCACAGCAACTTGGCGAGATCGACGCCACTAACGAGAAGTGGAACGACATCCACGCGCTTGCCTGCGTGCTGAAGACCCTTCTGCGCAACCTACCAGACTCTCTGATTCCAAAAGGTGCCTTTTTTTCATATTTCTGTTTTTTCGGATGCTGACCAATTTGTCTAAATATTTGGTTCTGCAACAAAGTGCTCACGCCTTATTGAAAATCGATTAAATCGCAAAAACTTTCTCACTTTCATGGATTCGGGCGCTGTTGGCACCGGGACAGTCAGCTTCTCCCCCATTATTCGGTTTCCCAAATAAAAAAAGTTAAAAAACACATAAGTTGCACGTTCTTTTTCTGAAATGCGTTGGCTGCATGACTCAGCCAAAAAAATCGGTAAATTTGATACCAAGGTGAATGAGTCAGCGCGCCAAATTCGCGCGCGCACGATTGTTTTGAAAAAGGCGCCAATTTGGGAATTGCGTGGCTAGTCGACATGATTGAGGGTAGGTGTGATTATGGGGTAACACTAGGGGAGATTTCGCACAACCATTTGTACCTCCCCTTTCTCTGGCGGTTGCAAATCGGAAAAAAAAGAAACGGTTTTTTATCTACCAAAGGAATGCCATTTTGGGTCGGAAAATATGGTCCTCGTAAAGCGCATAACGTGTAAATTATTACAAGAACATGGATACCTCACACCTCTTTGTGCGCGCGAATACCGCGATAAATAGCTAATTAGCTGTTTTTAAGGCGTGTAACGGGCGTCGCCTCGCAGTCTCAAGCACCAATGCTTCAAATCAGTTTGCATTACGTTAAAATGTTTGAGAATTTTCTTAACTTTGAAAGTTCATTTAAATGAGTCTTGTAACGAAGCTTCCACAAATTGGCAGTGCGTAGGTGCTAGTAATGCTAAAAAATCAAACGCTGACAATCCTAAAAATACGTTTTTTCGTGTGAAAGTTCAAACCCACAGTTAGGTAAAACACCAACTTAGGGAGCATGCGTAGACAGTGCCCATTAGCTCACTGTTTTTCGTTTGTTACCGGATCCATCAACAATTTGTCGGTCTTTGATAGGTCGAAATTTTCACACGAAACCAAATTGGTCCATTGCGCGTGTTTTCCAGAGATATCCACCATTTTTGCACATCTTTTCATGCCCTTTATAGGGATTTAGCCGTTGACCCACCTGTCTTCTTAAGGTAGTTGATATTTTCTAGGTCAGATTAAACGGCCAAATTGGCGTTTTTTGCTAAAAGCTCTTAAATCTCACCGAGAAAAATGGTCACATTGACCTCCAACTAGTCCCTCTTTTGTCACGCCGAACGGCTCAAGATGGCGATCTGACCAGTGCGGTCTCGACCAATAGGAAAGCAGAAGGCACAGTCGCTTGACCATTTAATTGGTCCACTTGTCTTATTAAGGTAGTTGATATTTTCTAGGTCAGATTAAACGGCCAAATTGGCGTTTTTTGCTAAAAGCTCTTAAATCTCACCGAGAAAAATGGTCACATTGACCTCCAACTAGTCCCTCTTTTGTCACGCCGAACGGCTCAAGATAGCGATCTGACCAGAACAGCCTCGACCAATAGGAAAGCAGAAGGGACGGTAGCTTGGCCATTTAATTGGTACATTCGATTTAAAGCGGTGGCGATTTAAAAATCAATCAAAGACATCAGTTATTAATATCTGTGACCTTTAGTCATGTATCCTGACTTCCTCGGAGCGTCAAGACTGGAGTCTTGGGAGCGTCGGCTGCTGTCCCTGCAACGCCTCCTCAGTATCATGGAGTGCTACCCGAACCACCCCGAGTACCGGGTGCACCGGGCCACCCTGCGTTACCTTGCCACCCACTTGGCACGCGTGGCCTCACGCCAGGCCGTGAACCGCATGACAGCCTACAATCTGGCCCTCGTTTTCGCGCCAAATCTCATCCAATCAAACGAGGACAGCCCGGAACTCTTCATTGCCGATTCCAAGTTCAAAATATGGGTGTGTTTTGTGTTAAGTAGACGTCATTTGTGCGTCCACTTTCGTATTGCCGCTAATGCGGCGATGTGTTATTCGCAGTCAACAACTTCGAGCATGTCGAAGAGTCTATTGGCCAGAACTCTGATAGCTGATTGGCTGCATGACATTTGAGCAGATCTTGAAGCAGCTAGGTGAATTCGACAAAGGCTAAATTGTGCCAAGTAGTACATTGTTCCTAGAAGACGTTGCTACACTCTGGAAGCGCAGTCTTGCTAAATCAAGTCGTCAGGATGAATATGGAAGTGTACTTTTTTTCTTTGCACAGCTGCTTGAGACAATGATTAAGTACCACAAGTGGGTGTTTTCACCTGACCTGGGCATCGAAAGCGGTTGCTTCGTGCCCGAAGACTCCGACAACATGCTGCTAACGGACGAGGCCCTGGCAGAGGTCATGGCTGCAACCACAACCTCAAACACCTCTCAGGGTCTGGAGTTCGCGAACCAACCCGGTCGCTCTGAAGGTAAACCTTTTGATTATCCTAATTTAGACCTCTTGAGTAAACGTCATATCGATAAAATAGTTAAAACTCTTCGACCTATGAGCTGTTGATGGCGACTTTCTGGTTTGGTAGGCGACGTGCGGCCAGTGCTTCAGGAGATGCTGCATGCAGCTGCGCTGCTGCCTCCACCACCTTCGACGTCTGTACTTGAGGTTGCAGAAGAGCCGGGTCCGAGCACGGACCGTCCAACCGACGTGACCACGGTCGTGGAACAGGCCCTCGAATCCAGTGCTGTTGAACTTCAGGAGGCGCAGCAACAGCAGCAGCAACAACAACTGCAACAGCAACAACAGAGATTCCGTCCAGTTAGTCAACCCGGAGGAGAATATCGGTCACGCAAGCAAGAACGGTAGGTTGTCATCTAGACTAGTGTGCGTGCTCCATTGTAACGATTAATTAATTAACTGAACTCCTTAGATGTTGCGGTAAGTTGAGAGTGAGTAGCCTTTGTTGTGCTCCCCTTCCTCCTCCCCCCACTAACTCTGTCCTTTTTTCTCTCCACCCTTTCAAGGTCACTCTCGGTCGGTCGCCGAAGGGAAGGACGTAAGTTACAACGTTTATTTTCTAATTTGGCACTGTGCCGATGTGAACGCCCCTGACATTTGTGCTGTAGGTCAAGCCGCAGAAGCTGAACTCCCAAGGCATCGAATTCGTGTCCCCCCAAACACGGATCCCTCCGACACCCCAGAAAGTAAGGCTGTGATTGGCTCAACTGAAAAAAACTGCACACTTGAGCACCTCATCTTGATTCGCCAATGTCCACGTGAGGTAGTGTAGGGGGACGGGATGGCTTAGCAGGGGATTGGTGTGGTTGCGAAAGGGGTCAAATTGGGTCTTCAGCAGTATACTTTCGATCGACCAATGAGCAAGCGGCTACGCCCACCAATAGCCATGAATCATCGAAATATGTCGAAACGAACATTTCACCATCAAATCTTGTTAAAATAAGTTGTCACAAAGCCTGTTTGTCAGACATCTATCCACTGTCTAGATAGATGAGACAGTAGAACAAATTCCTTACGCATAACGACGATCTTTACGCAAAATTGTTCCACTGTAATCTGAAGCTTTACTGTACCTGTCGAAGTGAAACTATTGCGATCCAGAACATGAGCATCGTAAGCACTTCTCGCGCGTTGATGGTTCATGGGTCTTAGGATTGTGTCGGGGTGCTAATATAAGGTAATTCTGGATTCACACGCGAGACTCAATAATACATTGGGATGACGCACACGAACCCGTCAATTATGTGACAAGATCTACGGGTGGGATTCACGCTAAGCTAGAACACCGATACTTCTCTACCTCTACATCTCTGTACAGTTGTGTAAACTGTCTCTCTCTCTCTCCCTGTCTCTTTGTCGTACAGAGTGACCCAAGCATCGTCGTAAGTTCAACTGCCTTTCAATTTGTTCACAAATGCGCGCCATTGTGCTTCACCAGCACCTATATCCACATCGTAACGCGTCGCCACATATCTCCTAGTCTTGTATCTTAAACTGTGCTTTCGAACCAATGCCTCTGTGTGTGTGTGCGCCTTCTACATCTGCATGATTAATCTATAAACACGCTTTTGGTGTTGTCTGGAGCTTCGCAGTCATCTCTCATCTGCCTGTTGTCGAATGCGCACGATCACATGACGCACCAACACGCTAGCCGACACACACTAACACGCATTGTCACGGCAACTGCACCAACACGCTTCGAGAATGACGACAGTTGCGTTTAGTGAGTCAATCGCCTACCTACTTATGCACAACCTCAAACTATCGCTCCCACTAGTTTAACCAATCAACATTCGACTGTCCAATCCACTTCCAGTAGATCGTTTGGACCTCGAATGCAATCTGCGGTGA